CGCAAGGCCCGGGGGAGGGGCGGTGCCCCCCCGGCGGCGGGAGCAACACCCTGGGGACCCAGGCCAGCGTCCCCACCACGGGGCAGCTGGTGGCAGCTGGTGGCAGCTGGAGCCTGGACCAAGGATGAGGTGGGTGGGTGGGAGCAGGAGGAAGGGCCGCGAGTCAGTGCCCGGTGTCCTTGTCCCGAGCTCACACCACCCACCCCAGCCCTGCGTGTGAACTAACTGCCCGCCCTGGGCACCCATGTCTCAGTGACCTGGCTCCTGGGGACTCGTGCAACAGCCGGGTGGCTTCCTCTGGCTCTTGTAGGGACGAGGTCAGGTCTCTCCTCACTCACGCAGAGCTGCAGACAGGAGCCTGGCCCTGAGCGGGCAGCCCTGACCCGCCCTGCCTCCCCCATGTCTGTGCAGGAGGACTTGGAGCTGCTGAGGGAGCTTCGGGTCAGCCACTATGGCTTTTCCCTGTCCTGGCCCCGGCTGCTGCCCACGGGCATCCGAGGTGAGCCGCGCAGCGCCCCGGAGCCTCCTGGGCCCTGTGGGCCATGCTGGTTTTATGGGGAATCAGAGTCCCGGGAGGGAGGCGCCCGGATGTGGCTGCAGCAGGTAACAGGCTCCCAGGAGCGTCCACACCACCCCTCTGAGACCTGAAACTCTGGTGGGCTGAGGGACCTTTAGGCGGGCCCAAAGCGGCAGGGCCCAGGAATGCTGCCTGAGGAAGGCGGAGCCAAGGCCTTCCCACAGCCCGCTGTCTCCCCCAGCCGAGCAGGTGAACCAGAAGGGGGTGCAGTTCTACAGCGAGGTCCTGGACGCCCTTGTCAAGAGCAACATCACCCCCATCGTCACCCTGCACCACTGGGACCTGCCGCAGGTGAGGCCTGGGGCTCCAGGGACAGGGTTGCCAGGGTGGGACTGAGACTGGGTCTGGACCCTGGCTCAGAACTCGGATCCGAGGGACAAGGATGAAATCTCAGCTTTACCAGCGTCCTACAGACGGCGACACTTACAGAAACTGAAATCCGTTTTCTCCCCGGCGGAGGCTGCGAAGCCCAGTATCAGGGCCCGCAGATCTGTGTCTGTGGAGGGCCCGGGCTCTGCTTCCAGGGTGGCCTCAAACTCGGCCCTCACACAGTGTGGGGGAGAGGGGCCCAGCACCCTCTGTCAAGTCCTTTCATGAGGGCGCCCAAGCCTGCTCACGAGGACGGAGCCCGTGACCCAGGAGGGGTCAGTCTGCACTGGAGTCGGAAGGGGCAAAAACATCAATATTTGAGTAACAGCACTCGCCCACGGTGGGAGAGCACGCTGGTTTAACTGAGGGTTCAATAGTGAAAAGTGTGAGCCCTGATGTTTTCCAAGACATTTGGTGTCAAAACGACACCAGGGCCGGCAAGTGGCATGGTGGTTATGGTGCTGGACTCCCACGTTGTCGACCACAGTTCAAATCCCAGACCTTCTTTTCTTGTTTTCCCTCTCTCTCTCTGGTCAAATTAAAATGAACAATAATTATAAATGGAATTAAATAAATAAATGTTTCTTAAAAAAAAAAAAAAAACCCTCCAAAAACTATTAAGAGGGCCAGCAGGTGGCAGGGGGATTAAAGTGCTGGATCCCACATGGCTGACTATGCTACTCAAGTCCTGGACCTGGAGGCTTGAAAATCACACTGGGCACGAGTGTGTTTGTGCCCCAAATCCCTAGGAGAGTGAAGAAGGGATTGTGGTATGGCCAGTCCCCCTGGGGAAAAGACCTTTTGACTAAGGTTTGGTGGCATGGCCTAGGTGACAAGGTTTTTAGTCTTTGTCCCTGTTTTGAGCTAGTACCACAGGCACTGGTATATGAGCCCCGCCCCAGTGACATCCACGCAGTCCTGTCACGCTCAGGCATGTCACTGCTGTATGTCAGCATCCCGGCTGCTCTTCAGTCACAAGGCCCCACGGAAAGCACAGCCCAGCCGCGGGACGTCTGCGACACGGTGCGGGCGATGCTGGGCGCAGGGCCACGGGGGCAGAGGATGGAGACTCAGCTTCAGGGAGCTGTTGGGAGAAGTGAGGTCCCGTCAGGGCTTTGGGGCTTTGGGCGGGAGCGGGCATGGCCAGGAGGCTGAGGACCAGGGAGCCATTTGGCTAGACTCTGGAACGGGCGGGAGAGGGGAGGACGGAGGTTGGAGGAGTGACTGGGAACAGGGATTCTTCCCTTGGAAGGGAGCCGCCAGAGGCCTCTCAGCTGGAGCTGCGGAGGCTGGGGAGGAGGCTGGGGACGGAGCAGGCGTTAGGGAGACGGACTGCAAAGACCCACAGCTCCTTCCTCAGTTAACCTGACTAACCTGCCCCTTTAGTATCGCTCAAAGCCGCCAAGGGGGTTTCAGTAGGTCATCTGCATGCGGTGACAGAAACCTTGCTGTCCCGAGCAGGCCCTCTGGTCGGGGACAGCCCTCACTGTAGGCAGCAGACCTCAGTCCCTTAACGGACAGTCTGGGAGGCTTCTGACCTCTGCTCAGCCTGGGAAGCCCTCGATAGGCCCAGACTAGGTGGGCAGTCCGGAATGCGCTTCACTGCAGTGCTGGGAGCCACTGGGAAGGCCACAGGTTCGAGTGCTCAGACTGGTTGTAAACAGGCAGGGTGCACAGGCACCCACGACCCTGAGGAGCTGGAGGCGGGGGAAGGGGTCGTGCGTGACGAGGCCCGAGGGGACATGCTTTCTCCCGCCCTCGCTGAGCACACGGGCACGTGCTGTCACTGAAAAGTCCTTGTCAGTGCCTTCGTGCAAGGTCCTCATCGCTCCAGGCCTTACATTCCAGATGCTCCTCTCCTGGCAGATTTTTTTTTTTTTTTTTGAGAGGTTTTTGCTATAGGGGGCGGGCCCTCCCCAGAC